GGCCGCGGCCCTGCGGGCGGGAAACGCACGCGTGAGCATTAGCTTAGCTCTATCCTGCACGGTCCCAGAAATGCATCACATTTAGCAAAAAAAAAACATTAATTCGGACGCCGTCAAGCTCCGCAGCGACTTGTATCCTGGAAAGGAAGTGAGAGCTGTCTTATTATCCGGGCTAGGGACATTTTTAGGTCATCTTGGATTTCCCAGGCAGAATACAAAGGACATAACAGACTGGCAAGAAGATTCCTGCTTGAAATGTTCTCCTTTAAACTAACCTGTTTCTGTTTGTAAGCAACAAATATTAGTAAAATACAAGAGAGAGATGGGGAAAGAGATAAAATAAAGTGTAGTGCCATAATACGTTCTTCATAATAGTTTTTGACATAAGAGTAATTTTTTTCCCTCTATCTGATAACGTAAAAGTGCCACATAAAAATGTGTCATTTGTGTATATTAATACATATACATAAATGTGTGTTATTTATAAGTTAACTACCTTCTGGGTTCTTAGTACAGCATAAAGAAACTTCATCTTTAACTTTCTAGAGACAGCAGTATGGAATACAGGGTTGCTCTTAAACTGAAGTATTTAAATGTGCTGAAAATATACCAAAGAGGTTCAACATATACGGAACATCTGGACTATTAAGTGATTGCTCCATCCTAGGCTTTTAAGGCCATATTAGATAGCAGAATAATCACCCAAAAGCATGGCTAGCACTACAGACATACATGTATGCATTACATAGAAAACTACGTTGGCAACACACCTCCAAAATACTCCATGGCTTCACATAAGACACCACTGAAGTACAAAGTAAGCCAAAAGATGGTGCTTATTCAAATGCTCCCCAGCATGAAAATATCCTTTCAGATTATTTTGAAAGAAACAAATACTGCACGTGCAATACCTCTCCCTCTTCTGACACCATAGAAATCCGCTTTTTCTCCACCTTTCTTCTCCTTGTGAGGACCCCCGTTATTGGCCTTGCCATCCTCTCCTCCACACTTGACTTCGCCTTGTTCTTGAGCTGTTTCCTCTGCATCACTTCTGAGTTGGAGACACCTGTGCGCCACGTCAGCCCGTCCCGGAAAACCTGTATTTTCTACCAGAAGACTGTGATCCACATCCAAAAAGTGTGATGAAGGCTTTAAGGATCCTTTGGCTGATGTGTTGATCTCCAAAGACTACAAATTAAATAAATGAATAATTAAATTCAGTAAAATGTGACAGATAATAAATAAAACAAAGAAGCACCATCTCCTCTTTCACTTTAAGAAAATATTTTGCCCAGCATCAAGACCTCCCTGTTAACAGAAACAGTATTTTCCTGGCTGTACCTGTTCCTTTCAAATAAATGAATACATAAATGAAGGTCCTAACGGTTTCCCACCTCTCAAAGCCTGTGACATGTAGGAAGATACTAAAAGTGGACGGGATGCCCGTGTTAGTAAGGTCACACACGAGCCAGAACAGGCTTGCCATTGGGTGGTACCAGCACCACCCTGCTCAGGGCAAGGACAAGTGTTTGCACAGCTGCATGAAGGAAAAGCAGTGCAAGGAAGGAGTGAGCAAGTGGAAACTGAGGCCCAAACCCTGCTGGTCAAATAGCAGTTCTCAAACCCGCATGATCAGGGTTAAGAAAGTGAATTTGCTAAATGTTTTGCAATAAAAATATAGCTTATTTTTTCACAGATTTTTTTTTCTAGCTTGAATTAGACAATCCATCATTCTCTTTCTGTTTTTATCTACATGTACCTGAACATTTGTAATTCTGTTCAAGCCTGGATCTTTTCTCACATAGGTTGAGAAATGTGACAAATTATCCACCCACCTCAGTTAAAGCCTCTCAAACAAGCTCCAATGACACAGGAGACAATTGGGAAATCACCTACATAATGCAACTTGCAGCACTGCTCCCAAATCACCTTTCCCAATATGTTTCACTATTGGGTAAAATTCTGATGGACTAAAGGGAATTCTCGAGGTTCTCAGGAAGCAGCCAACAAGAGAATGCTACAACATTGCAACATCCACCTCCCATTCACACATTCTTCCTCAGAATCAGGAAAAAAATGGGTGTTTGAGCACAACTGTCAAAGTCTATGCTTAAGCTGTACCTCCTTCAGAGACCTGAGCAAGCAGGTCAATTAAGATCACAATTAATAAAATGAACAGAATTCAGTCAAAATTAAGCCAGCAGAGTTGGTGCCCACCCCTCATATAAAAGTCAGAGGTATCTTAGTGCTGAAGAAAGTAGACAACCCCCTGGAAATTACCACTTCCTCCCACTCCTTTAGACCTAGGCTACTTTGCAGCCACCTACTTAGGCTCGCTCCTGTTCATTCTGAGAAGCAACTGTGGAATTCATGAGGCTGGAAGAAGGAATGCAAGAAGCCCAGTTGCAGAGACACTCCCCTGCTTCCTAGGGATGGCTGGATCTGGGCCCTACATATGTTGCAAGGCCCTAAAGCCATCCGTGGACATAGCTCTTGGTGTCACTGTGCTGTTATCTTTGGCACATCTCCCCCTCTCCCGAGTGATCTGAGAGCAGCGTGAATGATCTGAGAGCAAAAACTTCAGGGCTTTTAGATCTGTGGCAATCAATATGCAAAAGACTAACAATAAAAAGAACAGAAATGGCTACCTGAAGAGAAGAAAGCTACCCAGGAGTTACTTCATTTACATGTGCATGTAAATGTGCAGCTAGTGGTTGGGAATATCTTAAAAAGCAGCCTATCAATTGCAAAACGTTTCGAGAAACACTGCACTCTTACCTCTTCTAGTCCTAGCTGCTCCATAGAGTCACAGTAAACCTCACTGTCTGAATCACTAGTTAGGTGCGGAGTTCCTGAGATCTCTTCGGCGTTCTCTTCATTTGCACCTGCACACAAGGGAGGGAGACATGCACACAGGCTTCCTAAATAAAGCCAGTCCTGGCAGAGTAAAGCAATGAGTTACAATATCTAAATGAGCTTCAACTCCTGCCCATTTCATCTGCTATTACCATTCTAAAGGTACATTAAAAATAAAAAGATTATATTAATACAAGAATTATGTCAAATTTTTACCGCTGCGAAAACTAAAACTCATGTTGATATTTGTTTTATAGGATGAAAATTTTAATCCTATCTTGCTCATTCTGCTCTCCTTTCTAATCTATGTATAGAGCAGTTTTGCCTGAAGTTATCAAATGATTCTAAAATGATGTATTTAGACATCACTTTCACCAACTAAGCTTTTACACTATGTTTAATCCTTGGAAACAACAAATACAGATATTAGTGATTTTCATTCATTACACAGTAGCTCTCAAATCAAACAGTATTTGCGCATACAAAATAATGATCTTTGAATAAATGAATTGTGTATTTTGCCTCCCCCCTTGAATCTACCCTTTCAGTAAAAACAATCAATTAAACAAAACAAATATACAATCTTATTTTATATTGCTATTACATTTTATTATTATTTTAGAAATTCTTTGGGATTCTGTAAACAGAAGGCATGACTGCTTGTTTCTGAATGCCAGGATTAGGATTTCAACAGTAACAATATCTTCCAAACAAAAGGTATGTAAATTACAACACAGTCTTGCAAGGACAATACCTTGGTGAGCAGTGTTACTAGTTAGCTCTAGGCTTTGCTCTGTTTTCTTCATTTCTTCTTCCACATTCAGGCCATTCAGGGCAGATTTGGTCTGGATGCCATTCTGCAGATTGGGGATAAAGTTGTCCTTAGAACAGCCATTAGTGACAATACTTTCCAAATCCTTAGCAGCTGCTGAGTCTTGCTTCACTTTCTTATATTCTGTAAAAGAACAAGAAAATGCTGCAAATAGACAGGTAGATACCTAATAATTCAAAACATATTTCTTCATGTATCTAACCTTCTAACGGGCTATATTTTCAATGTATCTGTAGAACAAAATATAAAAATTCAGGTAGATTCACATTCATAGGAATAGTTCTGTTCTTATACAAAGTATATTCTTTATTTTGCAAAAGGCAGGAATGATATTTAAGCATAAGTAAGCAAATCTACTGCATGTCTCAGTGATAAACTAAAGAACGACCACGATGTCCTTGGCGGGGGAAGAAAACAGCACAGACTTCTGAAAGCATAAACTTCATTCATTGTCTATTTGAGACTGGTATTTTCTCAAAACTCTTTAAGAACCCAACTCTGCACCAACTCTCACCAAAAATTCTGTTTTGTTTTCTCTCAAGAAAATAAGGGTGATTTTTAATTCTCCTGTTTCATGCCATGCACCCACAACAAAGCCCAAAGCAATACGGAGTATGCTGTAGACTTCAAGCCAATACACTAACGAGACTTCTTAAATGAATAAAAAAAAAATCTGTATACGGTAGCTCAAAATTTTTTCTTAGTCTTCTAACCTTTTAACAAGATAAGGCCAGTTGTCACAAACGCGTGTATGTGATTTTACATAAAATTCCCCTAAAGAATTGAGGATTCATGATTTAGAATTCTCGATTCTTTGGAATTTTCTGCTATTCAGATGGGTAAGAATAAGTTTGAAGGAAACTCTGTGGAACGTATAGAAAACATACCCTTGGCATTTAGCTGTATTTCTTTTTCTTCATCTTCACGAAGCCCTTCCTCCTCTGACTCAGCTCCACTGTCACTACTTTCAGCTTTCCCATTCACAGCCTTCATATTTGGAGTGGAAGTCATGACATTACTAAGGTCTAAGCAAACATTCAAAGGGAATAAAAGGATATTTATATATTAAACCAAAACAGGTATAACCTCCCCTCCACACCTTCAAAGTATTAGCCAGCAGTCAATAGTTCTACAAAAGTATTTCCATATTAGAATATATACCAAATAATGCCAGTTCTAAATCCGTATATTCTTCCTTAATTAATTTAAGGTTTCTCCTTCGTGGCTCACCATAAAATTCATAACTATTGGCAGTGTTTCTGCAAATCCTCCTAACTAACCTCAGTGTTTCTGAGGAAGCCAACTGAAAGAGAAGGAACTGCTGCTTTCACTATAAACTCCCAGATTGAAACCGTTGCTGATATTAATAGTGAAGTTACATTAAGATTTTTACCTAGGTTTGACTTAGCCATTTTCTTTTAATCCTAGATTCCACACTTATACAGAATGTTCCCTTTGGGCTGAAATGCTTCAAAACTTTGGGCTGAATGCTTCAATTCAAAGGTGAATTTTAAAACATTCGATTCAATTATGTGAGTAATAGAAGTCTAAGAAGGAAACGTATAATATCCTAAGCATTTTTCTCCTGCAGCAATTTAAGCAGACACAAACTGTGGTAATGAGATTTATGCTTATGCAGATCTGGAAAAGTACATACGAAAATAAATGCATATGCACAGGTTTCAGTGAGAAGAAGATGAAACATACACTGAGCCTTCGTTTGCATGTCTAATTACATAAATATTTAAATAACAAGTCTCCTTGAAATAAACATTTAAGAAGATACAAAGCAACTGCTAAATCTGCTTCCCAATTCTGTAATCAATTCAAGGGTCATGTATTACAATTAACAATTATTCACTATCCAAAGAATTGAAAAGTGCAGTTTCTTTTAAAACTATCAAAAATTTAAGGGTCAATTCCATAACCACATAAAGAAAAAAACCAAACATTTATATCCACAGAGGTGATTATTTAAACCTTGCACATAAGTACAGAGGACTAAAGTACAACAGGACACGGTTACAAGGGACAGAAGGGGATACTTGCCCATTTTGCCTGCTGACTGCAAGGCCCAGCTCTATCCATTTTAATTGCCATCACAGCAGTCATTTGCATAATTTTTACATTACCTTGTCAGAACCTCCAAAAACTAATTCCTACATTTAGGTTTCACAGCAAAAATATATCCAATCATGCCAGAGTTGCTAAACCAGCTTTGCAACTTTCTTTGCTATGTGGTAATTTACTGCTAAGTGTTTTCTACTTTAAATCTTGCTGTGAAGAGGCAAGCTGTCTTCCCACATTCTGTTTGTTTCCACACTTATCCAAACTGCTTTAAAACAAATAGGAAAAAAAAAAACCCACAAAATTACTCTACTTTCTCTATAGACCTAATTAATATGTTAAGTATCCGGATCAGTTTAGTTTTACTGTGAGACTGTTTTCTGTGGGCACGCTGCATCACCACTTAAGATTGACCAAATTTAACTTTTATCTCAAAAAAAAAAAGTTTCTTTGCTGAGAAGAGAGACCCAGTAAAATCTATGGTCTACTTTGAAGACTACAAGATATTAAACAGTCATTTTCTCCTTATTGAAGCACACTTGGCACTTGCAAGGATTTTTTTCCACACAAAAGAAAAACCCTAACATATTCCCAGGAAACTTCTCATAAGCACAATTCTTTTTAATGTGAAAAGCAATTCTAATGCTGCCTTTTGTTTTTTTATCCCCCTCCAAGAAGCAATGTGAGAAGAACAACACAACAGCTCAGGTCTCACTGCACAAACACGAGGTGCAGCCTCAGCTCTCTGGAAAGGGCAGGGCAGGCACCACTTTCCCTTGGAAAATGGGGGAACAACCGAACTGCCAAACCTGACTGTGTGGGAGTAAACAGGAAAGACTGGACCAGGAGACCTCCTCACTCCACCCCAGGTACTACAAAACCTTACACGGTAGCTTTTCACTTTCGAGGTGAAGGTCTTTCATCATCCACACAGGTTCTCTCCCAATTTCAGAGACAGGGATTTCTAGCTCCCCATAAATGTCAGTGTGAGTTTTGCTCCCAGTTGGAGTTCGGAGCTTCCCCTCCTCTCTGGATCTGCCTCAGCTAAGCACAAGGGTCATTTCATATAAAACCCAAGTAGGTCCCCTCTGTTCACAGCCCATCCTCTCATTTTCACATCCCCCGAACACCTTTTATTTTTGATCTTCTCATGAGGCCCAGAGACCCGGCACGACGTTTCCAGGCCCCGCGGAGCCGATTCACTTGGCACCGCGCGGCCCTTCCTCCTCCACAAACACCAGCTACAGCAGCAGGTTGGACCCCGCTGCGAGGAGATCCCTTTACACCCCCGTGTTTAAGCGGTCTCAAGCTCTGTCAACGCTTGTTTCAAGTCCCAGGGAGGCCCACACATTGCACAAAGCTGTTTTAATCATCAGGGAACTCCAGTTCTTGCCACCAGAGCCTCCTGCTGAATTCATGCGCGTCGCTGACCCAGGCAGGCTCCCTGCCTCAGTTTCAGCTTGTGTAACTGTGTTCCTGCTTGCGAAACTCTCCACCTCCTTTTTCCAGCAGAGCTTTCCCAGTAACACATTACTGCAATGAGTGATCACTTCTCACAGGGAGGAGCATGTTTCAAGGTTAAGTTAAGCCTTAGAAACCTTTTCGATATTTCTCCTTTTACACTGGCTTTCTGGCCAAGAGGCTCTTTGAAGAGCCCATGGAACAGGAACTACTGCAGATTTGCTGTCAGCACGAAAGCTGTGAGCACCAGCACCACAGGTGCTTCAGTAAATTGGAGCACGGATACATCCGTCCTCGGCTACAGTTGTGCTGCCTGAAATAGGCTACACTCTGCCTGCATCCTCAGGCATTACACCTTCCCACCTGGGTTTGCTTAAACCACAGATTTTTTTTAACAAATAACAAATATTTGCTTGTCCAGTTTTTGACTAGACCTCACTGAGAGCACTCATGTGAACAGCTTGCAGGGCAGGTTGCCCAGAGGTTCATGTGTTTGTCCTGAGAGGAGAGAGGGGAGCACATGCAATCAGCTGGGATCAATAACCTCTTCAGCCAGAAGAGCAAGACCTTCCATACCCTCATTTCCTTTCATTGTTTTTAATACAGCACACTACAAAGAAAAATTTTAGTGGCCCAGCCTGCCCTATAACATCTGTTCTGCGTTTGTGATGGGCTGCCATCACAAATAAAACAAGGAGAGATGGAGAAATAAAACTATTTATCGTTACCACTGCTTTACCGCTTTTCATTACAAACACATTTAAGTTTGAGTTTGCAGAAAATGCATCCCATAAACTCACAAATCTTGGCAGTCAGATTTTCCTCTAGCTGCTGCTTTACTTTTTCTGCTGTTTAATCTTCCTAAACTTCACTGTAACACAGGAAAGAATCCTATCTCCTTAATTCTTTTTTTTTTTTCTTTTATTTTATATCTCCCAAACCTTGTTTTGTCCTCATTCTTCTCTACTTTAATACAGTATCTTGGGGATAAGAGCAAACACAACAGCTGCTCCTTAAACACATATATTAACTTGCAAGAATCATGTTTAGGATTACAGAGTTGTCCTCCTGGGCCATTATGCTTTTCCTCTGACCAATATCTACAGACATTTCCTCACATTCATACCTATCACTGGCATCTGCTCCCTCAGTTTTTCACGGTACCTTCCCTGTAACAGAGGTTATTGGATTCCTGGGTTGGCTGGGATGTGCCCTGCTCCTCCCCAACTCCCCTGAGACGCTGGGGCAGGAGCTGCCCAGTCCATGCCCCAGCGCGGGCAGGTGCTTCCCCATTAACCAGCGGACACCTGGAACACAGAGTCACCAACCCCGTGCCAATCAGTTAGTCCGTGCACAGCAAAAGCCGTGGGGCCGGGTTCTGCCACCTTACTGCCAACACCTCGGTCACCTGTGCAACACACAGGCCTCTATCACCCTTGTGTTTACGGGTGTTTCCACGTCTCCAGGCCCCTGGGAGAACGTGCAGGGCTTGCTAAGGTCTCCCCTGGGCACAAGACACCATCAACCCTTGGAGGGGGTTGCTTTGATTCTGCAAAGGTGTATTACCCTCTGCCTATGTTTTGCACCAGAAAACACAACAAAAGACAAACCTTGTGAAATCAAAACTACATTAAAAAAACAATCAACCATCCAACAAAACAAAACAAACAAACAAAAAAAAAACAGAAAACCATTCTGATGGGTCATTTATAGTCCAGAAATTCTAGTCTGTAATGATAATATACTCAAAACCAAGAGCAGTCTCTGCACTCCCACCAGAAGAAAAACTGACCACATTTTCCCCCAAGCTACTCCAGGATTACCAGATTACAGTGCCGTTTACAAACATGGCTGAACAGAGTCCTGATTTTTGCTAGCACAATGTTTTCCATAGAACACAAGCCCATGCTGGATGGCCAGTTTTCTGAAAGAAACCAAGATACAAGCACCTACACCCGCTCCTCCCCAGCCTGCCATACCTCTGTCCCCATTTCCATCTGTGGAGAACACAGCTGTGGGGAAGCTGGAGTTCAGTGCTCTCGCCACGACATCTTAGACACAAGTCAAACTTCTAGAATATCAAAGATCTACATTTTACAGCAAGCAGGTTTGTCCACTAAATTATTATGTTGCCAGAACCTGAGGAGCTTCTGACAACCCCTCTTGCCCTTCACAGGCTGGACTGTCATTTGGCTAGAGAAAGAATCCAGGTCCAGCGACTGCTGCTTCCACTGACTCAACACAGCACAAAACAGAGACAGGCTTTTCTTTTCAAGCAAAGAAGCTTCTCTCTCACTCTCTGAAGGAGCTTATCTTTACTCTGCTGCTCTCCTGTGCTGATGTCTCCTCTACTACTACTGTCGGAAAGCAAAAAGGGGCTGTTGATTTATTCAGGTTTATCTACACAGATGCTCTGCCCCAGTTTCTACCATTGCTGGGCAGCACCAGCACAAACCCACCAGTGCCAAGGCTAATCCCAGGCAAAGCAGGCCGGGAAATTCCATTTGGACAGGAAGGCCTGAGGTGGGTACACACTGCAGCAGTGCAAGCCACGGCTTGTTGAGGCACCAACCCACATCTCAGCAAGACTTGCTGCCAGTTCTGGCACTCGCTGGCCCAGCCCTTAATCCTCTAGTAGCCCCATCCCGCAGAGAAGCAACCTGGAACATTTCAGGTGCTTCCAGAACAGAACTGTAAAACTCCTGAGGCACTAACCACAATATTTGTAAAATAAAAGTCACACCAGACTCCCTAAATATAATCAGTTACTTTGATTACAGCTGTTTTGACAAAAATAAAGGAGGAAACAATCAGAAGACAATCAAAAAACCCCAAACTTCCCCCATCCACCCGGCAGCTTCGCCTCCCGCACCCTGCCCTGCCGCAGTCTCAGTGCCTCTCCTTGCTGTGGTGCAGCTCCCCATACAACACATCCCACTGCAGCACAGCAGCTCCAAGGACACGAGGACTTTGGATATTTGGTCTCTTCTTACAGAGCCTTAAAGATTCACAGTTTCTTAAAAATCCTGGCGAGGAAAAGGGGAAGGAAAGAATTCATTTTCACAAGTATCTCTGAACCTCAGCAAGTACCTCATCTGTTTAGCAAACAAATGAAAAGTTGATTCTATGAAGCAAACGCAAAGGGTGTTTCAAAAAAAAAAAAAAGTCCACACATAAGCAGAAACAACACACCACCGAATGCTCCATCACGAAGAAAAGCTGTTGAAAACGATTTGAGAAGCTCTTTAAGAAAACACAACTATTTGAAAAGAGAAACAATCTTTGGCTGTGTGGTTTGAAAGTTAATAGTGTTTAAGAACAAGTGTCATTAAGTGGAAAAAAAACCCTTATTCACTTTTTGTTCCTAAGTGCAATCCTCCCCTTGAAGCCTGCCTGCACCCTCCACTGACTACTGCCTTTGAAACAGAAATGCTTGCATGCATTAGCCTGTCCTAGAAGAGTGCCAACTTTGATGCCTGCATCCTTAGAGTGTTGAAAATGTGGCTCCCATGTTCAATATAGGAAGACACTGAGGAAACAGACAGACTTTACTTGCATCCTTACAGTCCCTTTGCTCTGTAAAAGAGGAAAGGGAGGGGGACGTGTTCATGTGGGGCCTTTTCTGCCCATGAGCCCTGCTGACTGAACCGCACAGCCGAGCTGCTGGACGTGGGCCCTGCACGGGCTCCTGGGCCACCAGGCTGCACAGCCACCAGTGCCACCCGGGCCCGGCACAGGCCGCCTTGCAAGCGTCGGGCACCGCGTGTCAGCGGGACCGACGCTGCTGCAGCTGCCACAGAGCTGGGAACAAAACCGTGCACAGGACACAACAGTGCTGCAGGGCAACAAAAGTTAAGAGCATTATTATTACAGGAATAGGGGGTTGGAAACAGTTCTAAGGGGGCTGGAACAACCACTGCAGTGTGAAACTGGTGTCACTGCTGCAGGTAACATCTGGTCTTCAAACAGGTTTACAAAAAGTACTACTCAACATAAAGGCACAGGGTCATCTTTATTTAGTAGTGTTTTAATGCAGATTAAACATGTTGTCAGGAAGGGGAGCACACAGCAAAACTCTACTGAAGAAAGTGTGGACAATTCCTGGATACCTTGTTTAGTCTTAGTGTTGGGCTGTCAGGTAGCCCTCCTCCTCCTCATGGCTTATTCATGTTTGGGATAAAGACAACATGCACAAACATTCTCACGGAAACTGCGAGGAAGATGAGTTGCCTTTGGAACTGTGGATTTTTTCACCCTGTATCAGGTCACTGAGTTGGGCCAATTCTACCCACCTTCAGTGTCTTCACATGTAATAAAAACAAGAAATGAAGTCTTCTAAAGCTTGAACAGGAAAGTTTCTAATTCACAGAGAAAGTGTGGTTTGAAGCTTCTTGAGTCCTTTAGCATAGGCTTGGCCATCACATTTCTTTAACTCTTACTAAAAGTGCAAAAAGTGGAAAGGTTTCCCTTCTAAGCAGCAATATCCAACCAGGCACAGAGACCTGTCATCTCCTTACCCAACCTTCCTCTCCATATAACACAAGGGCTTTGCAGCACTGTTGCCCATTCTCTTCTGCAGTCCTGAGACTACCAAGTGCTCAGTGTCTTTTCTTGATGTCTAGTATTTTAGGTACCTGAAAACGGATTTTCAGTAATGTTTTCTCTGTAAAGAAGTACTTCAGAGCTGTCAAAAAGAGACTAACTGAACTCTGCTGAGAACTTGGGCTTCTCACAGACAGCTGTGGCCTGAACTTGCACACCAGCTTACACACTTCTGAAGTACTTTAGATTTGCTCAGCCTTTCAGAGAGAATTCTCCATTTTTCTTTCATTGCCAACTCATCCTAGTATTCTGCTTCCCCAGAAACGAGGCAGAGCACACCACTGTGGGTAGCTGGACATGGCTACCCACAGATCACAGCAGCAGTTTGTCCTAGCTGTCCATCAGTGGATGTTATCCACGATTTTAATGCTGCCGTGTCAGGCTTCAGTGCTCCTCATTGACGTGAGCCACAAGCTCTACTGACTCAAGCACTGCAGTGGTCCATATTTAGCTTTTTCAACCAAAGTGGAAGGAATAGAAATTCCATTTTTAAAAGGCCATGTTTTCTTTTCTGATAGAACCAATCGTCCAGAGGTGCCACACCAGCGACAGTCAATGCTCACTAGTCTTCTGGACAATCTCCTAACTAATTCAAGGATACTGGTGATGCACTTTTGAGGAAGCTGCATATAATTTTTAATCAGATAATGATCTTCATACAGATAAAAGTCCAGTGGTAGAAGAACAGAAGGTGAACTCAAAACAACCCAGGCCCAAAGACAGGAGAGTACAACACGAAAGCAGGAGACTCGAGGGAAGGGGTCCGATTTTATTATATAAAAGTAGCTATTGAGTGTTGGGGTGGGAAGAGCACAGATAGAAAAATGGATACACTAACACAATTAATCATATGTTGATTTTTAGAGTATTGTCATCAATGTCCACCCCATCTCAAACAGTGTATGTTATTTTGAGCAAATTAGTTACATTCCTTGGGATGTACCTGGAAAACTGAGGGTAATCACGCTTCCACACTTCCCTGAAGGATTTTAAGACCATTAGAAGACCTGCACAATAAACACTAGCTCATTCAGCTTCGCTTTGATTCAGGGAATGTGGTAAGGCAACTGAAGAAAGTTTCAAAATCTTAGATCCAACAATGAAGTTTTAACATACAGCCACAGTGGATTCTGTGACAACTCTATCAAAACTCACTGTGGCACAGTTAGATGTTGCAGCTATGAAGTGTACGCAGGTCAACACATCTAGATCTGCAGTAACACTGACATAGTGTGAAACTAAAATTTGCTACATTAAAACTAAGAAAAAGTTTTTACTTGCACTTCCTTACATTTAGGCTCCCTTTAAAATATATCTGTTTCAATAATAGCTTCAGGATTACTTGTTTTTTCCAACTTTTGTGGTTCTCTGTTTGTCTAGTCACTTTTTTGGAAGTAGCTTTTGGCACATAGACACTAAGGAAAAGCAAATCCTTATTATACAGATCGCTGACCTGAATCTACTGATACTTTTATAGTCTTGTCTGTCAGTCCTGCTGTCAGCAAGCTCATTAAATCTCAGACAAAAAGCACACACAATTTTAGCTGACAAAAAAAAGGTCACAATGCTTTCAAAAAGGCCACTGAAAAACCTCAGCCATCATCTTTCCTCGCAGACTATGGGAAACTATGTCTATATCCCTCTGAAATAGGATGGCAAAACTGAAATCAAAAGTATGTTTAAGATGGGGAAAGAAAAAAGCCACATACAAAAGTCATCTTAACTATGATTGCTTCTTCTTAAACCCATACTAAGCCAATTAATTTGTGCAATGGTCCAGTTTCTAAAGCTATTAAAGGTTTTAGCTCCTTTAGGCTTGCTTTGGTATCGCTAGAAGTCAGATCTGAACAGCTATAAACCTTACATTACAACCTTACACACCCATTACCTGTAACATAATAACTGTAATTATCAAAGCATTTTCACAATGGTATTGCTAAATAAAAATCATTGCACTGATCTTTACGCAGCTGTGACACCACTAGGTTTGCCACTTCTCAGGGATTTTAAAAACATAGACACCCCCTTCTTGAACTTCAGCCTTGGACAGGTTAGGGTTGAAATTTTCACAAAACCAGTTTATTACTCTGCATGTATTAGAGCAAATATGATTTAAAGCAGTTTTAGGATTTTGGGAGTGATTTTTTTCCCTGTTTCAGGTCAGATGGCCAATTGGATTACCAGCAGCAAGCTGCAGTTTGACAGTAGCAGCTACATCAAAGTGTGGCAAGGCAGATTGGAAACGGTTTCTCCTTTAAATAAAAGAGATGTACAGATTGAGGAGAGGCATTAAGTGTCCCCCTCCATACACACACACATTTTTTATTTAAAGTAGTTCAGAAAACATGTAGATAAACATGACTAAACATGTAAATAGAGCTTTCTGGGACTAACTTTGATTTGCCTCTCCCCTCTCTGCCCCCCACAAAAGAAAGAGGCACCTAAAGATGTGGCAAGCCCAGAAGTCACAAGTGGAAGTTACCACAGCACCTGAACAATGGAAAAGATGGACTTACACTTAATTCATTATTCCTACCTTCCAAATATTTAGAGACTTTCTCCATTCGAACTGCCGTGTGGTAAGGAATAAATAGAAAGATGCAATGTTTAGCTTTAAATCATTTATAGAAAACAAGCCCCCCAAAATCCAGAGTTGTGATTATTAATAGTACAAAGGAAGTTACTTGTCCGAACCTGAGGTTAGGTCAGATCCTCTTTTCTTTTTATCTTCTACTATTTCATAGAACGGGCCTATTACTTGTAGTAATTCTTCAACTTTGTCCGTCATGGGCATACTCTCAAGTATCTGCACAAGTCCAAAATATGAAGCATCTCATGAAACAGCATTGAAATGATTCATCCACTCAACCAATTTCACAAATTTCTGGTCACTGTAAGACTCAGTAATATTTCACTCAGTCTCTGAACACATTAGTTTGAAGCTTTACGAAAACAACATATGCAAGCCACATTTACCCAATAAGAACCTGCACTATCTCTGGTAACTATATATTTATTTATTTATTTTGGGAGAGGGAGAGGGTTGCTCCTGCCTTTGCCTCCATTAAATAAACCTTTGCAACCATTATTTCATCATTTTTCAACCAAAACAATCCAAAGGTTTGGACAGGTTGCTCTGACCTAATGGAATTTCTCTTTCAACAGCCTTTGCATGGATAAAGTGAAACTGAAAGACTTTTGTCAGATTCTTCTGTCTAACCTTACCATCTTCGATGGCGTGAAAGGAGCAGCTCAAGAACCGCCCCTGTGAGTCCACCTAGCTCCCCAGCTCCGAGTTACAGCATAACACACATAGCAGGCACAAAGGAAAATAAGGAATAGGATCCAAGCAGAAGATCACACAAAGGAACAGGGGCAAAACAGGGACAGCGCAGAGACACACTTAGAATAGCAAACTAGAGCCAAGTCCTGCTCTTCAACTGATTTGGAGCTCTTTTGATTAAGAAAAAAATTAATTTACCAAACCAATACACTCTGGTAGGAACAATCATGTTAGATCTTACATCTAAAATACACTAGACAGGAGAGATGCACTTTTTAAACAATATTAAGTTCTTAAAAACTTGAATAGGACAATAATGTAAGTCCTTTCAACAGAAAGCTTTGTTCCTCCTTCAACTGCTGCCCTCCCTGCCTCTTTCACAGGGGCAACAACAGTAAGAAAAGGTTCAGGTTGCAGCAAATTACATCCCTCCTGCCCAAGAGGAGCTCCAGGAAAAGTAACAGGAGGGGGAAAGAGCTACAAAGCACCTTGCTCAAATGAAGCAAGTTCCTAAGAAGCAGGAGCAAGAGCTTGAGTTCTCCAACACACTGCAGGAGGTCCAGGCTGGCTAGCAGGTAAGCAAGGAGACACTTGCAATGCAAAGATGCCAAGGAACAAGACTTGCATCAAACTGCGGCTTCTCTGAGCCATTTAGTGCATGCCTAGAAACAATTCAGTCTATAATTGTTGGAGGGAAACATAGTACTCCTATGGAGCTGGTAATTAGCCAGAAATGTTTTTGCTTTTCCCAACACATCTTCAGTAGCACTGAAATAATAAAAATCCTATTTTAGCATTCTCTTCCATTCCAACACACTTGTATTTACACCTATATTGTGCACTGTAAAAATCTTTAGCAGAACATGTATGTTAAGAGCTTTGCAACTGAAAGTACTTAGATGAGCAGAAAAAAAAGCCAAGTGCTTACTCCTATAGTCATTGTGCATAATGTGCAATTTTAAAATTTATAAATGTAAAATGTTTTGATGCATCCAGAATTACTGTTTTCAGATGCTACATGTTTGTTTTAAATTAGAAACATCATAGACGTTTCTTATGCTAATGTACCAATACTTTGTAAACCATTTCTAATAAGACGAAATAATATAGTCAAATTTAAATAATTTAAATAATATTATAACATAAAATTTCAGAAATGCCATTTTGTAGAGAAATTTACCTTCAACAAATTGTCTTGAACTCATATTCATCCTAGCCAGCTTTAAGATGTGTTTGCTCATCACCTACCAGCATATCAAAATCTCACCCAGATACATTCTCCTCAACAGCCACAACTTTCAGGACTATCATTTGAGGGGCAAATAGGCCAAAACAAGACACAATATGCAAGTGCCATGAACACAGCCTGGAAAAAAAATAATTGGAAATACGGCAGCCTTATATATCACTAAATACAATTCTGTGGTATGAAGCTACAAATGGATTTTCCAAATGGGTACCTATACAGTCCTTACACAGCAGCAGCAGCACACCCATAGCAACACCACAAAGATTAGTGCAATGTGTGCTGATCTAACAGCCCAACAGACCCATTTGAAATGCTTTTCCACTGACATTTCAAACAGAATCAGGCAGGCTGGAAAAGCTGAAGCTGGCATTTCAAAGGTGAAGATGGAAGCAGTAGCATGCAGGGTGAAAAGACGCCGAGGTCTGAAGCTGAGTGAGGCCGGATGCCATTTGCTCCCCAGCCCCTACAAATAAGATGAGCAAAGAGGCAGAATATTTGTGCTTCATTAGGGTCAAGCTGGTTCATCACAGGAGACCTGCTCATTTCCTTTAGAATTCCACATTTTCACACGTTAGTGCCTGTGATGGAACACACTCCTGCACGGAGCAGAATAAGCTACTCTTCTGAAATATGAATACATTTTGCAAAATGAGGTTATAACGAACAATTTCTTTTCATGTCCCAATTAAGAAAAATTACAAGTTTGGTGGGATTTTTAACCCAATGAAAATAAAGCGAATTTAGCCTCCTGTCTTTTTTTGTGTTTCCACTTTTAAAGCAGCTAGTATCAACAGTATAAATAAAATTCACCAAAATGATGAAGGGCTGGAGGCAAGGGAGAGGAAACACTGGTCAAATCCCAGTTTCTTATCTAGTAAAAACATACAAATCAATACAGCAAGAATCAAGTGTTCTAGTAAACCTGTAAGGATGTTAACATACCAACCTAGGAGAAAAGTAAGTCTATTCAGAGTGAAGCTGGTATTTTCACTCCTTGGTGAAAACCTCATAATAAATTACAGTTAAATTTTTTTAAAATCTGGATTGATAGTAAATAACCTTTAAACTGGAAAGGCCGCTAGAAGACCTGCAGTAAAACAGCTGCAGCAGTGAAATGAGCTGGTTAATGAAAAACAAGAAACCTCAGCTCTGAATGTTTGTTTTAGTTAACTCTTTAATTGAGTTAACTAACTCTTAACTCTTAGCTTAATGGCTAAGAATATTTACAGTTAGATGTCTATTCACAAAAAGAAAGATCAAAAAAGATATTACACTGCTCTACATATCTGGCTATACATTGAATATTTTCAAGACATGTGCAGAAGACTTAAGCTGAAGGGCTCTTTTTGAAAATTCAAAGACAATTAAGTTTACATACTTGATTATACTCATCTCTCCAGTCATGCAAGCATTCAGAAAGTATTCTGGAGTGTTTTTCTCCCTCCTCCCCCTCCCAGGATAAGTCTCTCTTACCTGTCTCAACTTCAAAAACAGAGAAGTCTGCACCAAATTCAGCTTTTATTTTGTTGTTTCACTATAGTCTTTTACCATGATGTCAATACCATACTTTCTTTAGCTCTGTCATTTAAGCTACATGCCTACAACTAGTCTCCCAGAGCTCTCATATTTCTCTGAAAACAATCCAAATTCAACAGCTTTGGAGGCAAATAGAGGATTTTCCTCTCCCACAGACATGTCAGCATTATACTGAAATTGAACAAGTTCACACAGGGATTAAAAACCTACTTAGAGGTCTGGCATATGTCAGAAGAAAAACTCCTCATGGTCATTAATTTATTTCTGGGACATAAATTCTAGAAGATGCCTTTCACTTATTAATAAACTTACCTTTTTCATTTCTTCGACATATGCTATCATGGCTTCTTCTTTGGACATGTCTCCCAAGGCACTCCAGGCATCCCTAGGAAAGAAAGCCACATACATTTTCAAAATTTGCAAGGCTTACTTGAATTATTTTCAGCTTGGCCTTAAGTAGGTCACTTATATAATGCTGAAGTTTCTCTGATATAAATAAAATGCAAGGACAATTTGCAAAGTCCAAACACATAATTTGTTAGAATAACCAAACAGTAGGATACCAACAAAACAGCAACAAACTAAATAGCCTGAGTACTAAACAATTTCTCACTGATCAGCTGTGATCTAGTTAGCATTCAATAAAATATTAAAAAGCCAGGGCCTAATGAAAAGTACACGTTTCCCTTTTTATTTGGGTAATTGTTTTTTTTCTTTTAAGATGACCTACTGGAGAAAAATTAAGACCAAATATATCAGCTAAAACATACAAGTAGTTGTCAGGGTATTAGAACAGCTTCCCAGAAAGACAGGTGTCCATCTGAGTTTACCACTTCCTCAAATCACACTGTGCATAACAAAATAAATAATGACAGCCTAAAAATATGCCCCCCTCCATTTTTGGAAGGCTGAAATTATAAACAAATTCCCTAATATCATAGAAGGAACCTCAGAACAAGAGCTGGAAGAAAATACTTCTTTACACGGTCTTGCATTTGATTTAACACTGTCCCTTCCCCTCACCAGACTGTTTGTCTCATGTTTTTGGAGCAAAACTCCAAGGCTGGTGGCTCACATTTCAGCTACAAGCAGCCAGGTGAGTGGAAGATTATAGCCCTGGCCTCCGTAAACACATTCCCTGCTCTCTCAGCTTCACAAATCAGGAAGAAAAAAGTCTAAAGACTTACTACACAGATCCTAAAAGACTCTGACACATGGACAGCAATAACACTACTTAAGACAAATTATATCAGGGAGAAAAAAAAAAAAAAAGTTGATGTGGCTTCTCAAACAGAGCTTAGCAATAATGTGAAACGGAATTTTTCCTAGTATGAGCAAAGCAATAATATTGTGAGGTTCTGCCACTGAGCAGCCAGATCAGCAAGATAATAAACCAGAGCTTGGCCTGAGACATTGAGAGCCATCACACATCTGCAAGAAGTGGCTGTTTTCAGGGTCACATCAGATACCAGAACCAGAGAGCAGAGAATTCGGGACAGACTCTTGCCCATGTCAAACCCTCCACAGAGCACCTCTACTGCTACAGTGTGGGATAAACAGTGCATGGATAGTATGATGGGTTTGCCCAGGAGGAACCTGCTCCCTTGCAGAACATGACGGAAGGCTTCCACCTGCAGCTCTGAGAAGTCATAAATTACCTAAGCTAGAACTTAGCTTAGAGGTGGAACACAAGAAAGAAACAAACTGAAGCTTCAGAGGACTAGAACACTCTTACTTAGAGATAATAAACTGACTAAACTCTTCCTCCAAGCTCTACTCTCCTAAATCTCTCCACTCAAAGCATTTAAAGAAATACCAAATTAAAAAAAAAAATCCACAGTTCATGAAAAATTACCATTTATATCTACCAATCGGATCCCAAAATCCAGGTCTTGGAATGTTACAGGGTCCTTGGGTTGCTTGCTTATAAAAGCTATAAAACTTCAGCATCATTTCATTCGTTGGCTGGAATGAACCTAGTGAAAACATTTTAAAAATACAATTTAATTGGCATCAAGAAACTTAACCAGCGTGTTACAGCCTTAGGACTTCTGTGAGAAAACAGCCTGCAGCTCCCTATGGCCTAATTCTCGGGAGTACAAGTAAAGTCAATGGAGAATGTCCTCCTCCATCCCGAATCAGGCCCATGAAGAATACCTACCTTACAGGTTTCCTTGCAAAGTTGCAGATCAACTGTAAGGGGCTATTACTCTTTTTTTTTTTTTTTTTTTTTTTTTTAACTGGGAAGACTAAAATTAGAAGTAACAGAATAAATAAGGAAGAGAAAGCCTCCTTTTACTTAGCTTAAATGGAGAGATTCAGCTCTTGATAAACAGTACGTTGCAAGTTGTCATACTGTTAATAAGGGGCAATTTGCTGCAAGACATCAGAATTATGGGGGGAAAAAGAAGTTAAGACACCCCACAACCTCCAGCGTCACTTTTGTTTAGTTTGGGTATTTGACAGGACTTTCACTATCACTGTCTCTCCTGGTTTCTCTTCTTTTTCTGAAAGAACAAGTATAGGCACAGGAAATGTAAACGCAACGCTGGAACACCTGGCAAAGGAGAGAATTCACGTCTAATCCGTAAACAAAACATTTTCAACCTGAACTTTAGCCATCGGAAGTGTGCGATAGTTTCTAAATAGGTGCGGCAAAGAAACACTCATTCTTACACCAGCAATAAACAGCGATGCAATCAACGCCCCGTTTATCACTCTTACCACGGAGGCACAGCCCGGTTTTCCATTTCGCCCTCCTTTCGGTAACTCCTCGGGCGATGGGAGGCCCGCAGGGCCCCGCGGCCGGGAGGCGCCGGGCGCCCCCCGGGCCCGCAGGGAGCCGCGGCCTCGCTGCCCGCCCGCCCGCCGGCCGCGCTCACCGTTCTTGGGCAGGCTCTGGATCACCTTCACGGCCGCCTCGAAGCGGGTCGCGTGCACCGAGCCGGTCTCCGCCATGACCCCCGCTCCCGTTCCGCCGCTGCCGTCGCCGCGGTGCCTGCGCGCACAGGGCAGAGCCGGCAGCGCCGGGCGCCGCCGCCCCGCGCCCCCTCAGCGGCAGGGCGGGCAGAGCCGCCCCGCGCCCGCCCCGCGCCCTCCTTGCCGCCCCGCGGCCCCCGCGCCGGCCCCGCTCCGCCGGCCCGGCCCGGCCCGCCCCTCCCGCAGCCTCAGGCGCCCATGTTGCGCCGCGCCGCCGCCGGGGCACGACGGGGGATGTAGTGCGGCCGCCCGAGCCGCTGCCGCCCGCCCGAGGCCGCTGCCGGCACCGCCGGCGGGGAGGCGGGAGGCTCGGCGGGAAGCGCCGCCCGCCCCGGTGCCCGCTCGGGGCCGTCGCAGGCCGAGGCCCGGGCAGGCCGGGGCGGGCGGCCGGGCGGGTAATGGCGGCGCCGGCCGTGGAGCGGCAGGGGGCCGAGCAGGAGCATGTTCTCCCCTTTATTTGTGTGTTTACTCCTTTATTATTATTATTATTATTATTATTATTATTATTATTATTATTATTATTATTATTACTACTATTACATGCTTCTGCTTTCCTCTTCTATCCTTTCTCATCCCTGCTCACCTAAACATTTAAAAAAATGCCCCATTCCCCCCATTTTGTAGAGGTTTCCACCTCTGCCTGCCCCCAGGTATCCTGGAGAGACCCCGCACTGCCCGGGCTGGCACCTGGCTGCTCCCCCGGCCCTTGTCCCACAGCATCCGCATAAATACCATGCGTTTCTGAGAGAGCTTTACTAAAATCTATCCATATTACCATTAAATTTAGGGATGGGATTTAGGGATGGGTACATGGCGCTGCAATGAGCTGGCTCAGCAGCGAGGTCGCTGAATGGCCCTATTCAAAGCACTGCACATCCAGCGCTCTAGGAAATCACACACGAGTGTGCGAAAGCAGCCACTTTTGTGACAAGGAGAATAATCTGCCCAGTGAGCAGCCGGGTGAATTAATGGGCCTTTTGAGCATAGCCCAGTACAAAATCTTGGCATTCAGATCGCTACGTTTATCTGGTACACAATATATATTTTGAATTCCTCTTAAGGCAGTTGTGCGGTCACAGTCTATGCCCTCTGCTGGGAAAGAAAAGCTCCACAGAGAGGGAATTAAAGTGGATGAGCCCCTGCTCTGCTGAGCCGGTGTGTTGCACAAGGTCAGCGGCCAGCTGGCCCCAGGGGAGCTTTGCTGGAGAGACGCTCCCGCTTCCAGAGGTATCCAAACAGCATTCCCCACCGTGGGTGAATGAAGGACCTGCGTAATGAACACCACTGCGTAATGAACAACTCACCTGGACGTTACAGAGAGGTTTCTCTGAAATTTTCATCTTGAGTATTTAAGTATTTTGAGTATTATATTAAAAATATATTTTTAAATCTGGTGGGCCTTATACTAAGACCTATCCTCTTGTTTGTAGGAATAGATAGGAATGATGGAAGCTCGGATCAAAGGGAACTGTTTGTGCGAAGATAAGCGGTTCTCTGTGTAAGTATGGACGCTTTGAGCACACAAGGAGTTAATTGCAAAAGAAGGAAAAATGGAAGGCCTCTTGTGAGGCCAACTGATGCACAAATTCTATTTACCTGAGAAAATCTATAATGTCATTTGCCTTTTAATTGATTTAAGAGAAATACCGTCTGCATTTTTATAATCAATGTTCCCAGGTTTTCAGTGGAAATAAGCTTTGAAAGAGATGCAAATGACAACTTATTTAATGGTGTGTGCTGCAACACAAGCTGCTATCTTTGCATTGAAGAAGTGAGAGCTGCAGATCCAGAAGGAGGCACTTGAAGCAACCCAAAATAATCAGTACCATCATGCCCCGAGACAAGGCCAAAATAGTAAATGAGAGGCAAATTATGAGCACTGTCTGTGAGAACATATTATAAATGGCTAGTTAGTTAAACGCCCATCTCTGGTACTAATTAGCATTGTTGTTAGCTTTCTCTGTGCGTGCCTATTGCATTCTCATTGTAATGACTTGACTTCGAGGTAAGGTTAAGAGCAATCACATGAGTTTATATAGGTTGAAAGGATGCCCATCGTCCAAGAGCAGATCTGCAGCTTGACCTGAAGGACACTGAGGATCTACTCCATTCTGAGGAACAAATTTATGGGACATTTCTCTGTTTTTTTCCTGGGTTCCTACTGGGAATGACCTTGTGATTAGAAAATCTAGCAATAATCCATGTGCTGAATTGGGCTGTGTTTCTGTTACTCTGCAAGTACCTTCTAAGCTCCAGCAGCAAATACCACCAGCTCTTATTCTTTCTTTGGCCCTGATGTGTGTGAAGCTACATGTTTGGAATGGTGCTAGAAAGACTGGCTGATGTCCAGTAGTTGTGCCAGAGAGAAGGGGGGAGCATGGTACTCTGCTGGCAGTGGCTTTGACAGTGAGCAGGAATGAGGACCAAGATGTCCAAGCCTGCTGCATCCTGGTGATACGTGATATGTCTGAGTGCTTTGCTCTCTCCTTCCCTTCAGCTGGCCTTGCACAGACTGCTTGTGGGGAGGCAGTGATCTACTCATAGGCGGCATTCCTGACAGTGCTCTGAGGAGCACAACATTTTGGTGGAGTGTGCTGCTGCGGTGGCAGAAGGTAGACCAAAAATGGCACGTAAGTGTGACCTGACTGAAACCTTACAAACAGATCTGTCCTTACAAACAGATTGTGTCTAGGGATATGGCCCTTGGAGCTACGGCACAGGACAGTCTGTCAGATCCCACGTGTTGAGCTGCCTTGCGGTCCTCATTCGGTGCGATCTGCAAGGTGGCTCTCTCTGCAAGTTCTTCTCATTTGCATCCTAGATCTGGCTTAGTTTTCAGGAATTGCTTCTGCTAGCAAGCTGTGCTGGCGTCCGGCTTGAAATGCACCTTCATTGCACTTGAGAAACAAAGGAGTCGGTTAAATTATGCAAGTAAAAAGCAGAAACTGCAACCAGTTATGCCTGTTGCTCCCACAAGGCCCTGATTGTAGCTGTGTATTTTACAGAACTATGTAGAAGTAGTTCTTAAGAAAGTGGACCATAGTCTCATACACATTACGAGCACGTTCTGTAAGCTACCAGGTCCAAGAGCATGAGGTTTTGGCAAAGCTTACCTTTTGAAGTATGTAATGCAGCAGTGAGGGAGAATTAATTATTTAATCTAAAAGTCGTAGTTATGAAGAACTAAATTACCATTACAATTTCAGTCAAAGCTACATACTGATAAAGAATGGGAAGATGTTGCTCATGAAGGACAGAGCTTTTCAGAAGTAGTTTTCTACATTGTTCACAGTAGAAAGTCGAGTGTATCAGTTGACATTTACTTAGATTTTTTTTTAATATAGAATCAACAGCTCTGAAGAAAGAGAACTGTATGCCTATCATGAGTCTGGCAAAGAGAGCAGTTTAAGCTTGTCCATCTATGTAGGCCAATCCCTATTCTTCCATTTACCCAAAGAAGAGCCCCTTGGGTGAGAGACTAGTTTGAAACAAGAGCACCTTTTGGGATGGAAGTTTTCCTATAAGGATCAGATACACCCCTTAACAGCCTGATTGGAAAAAAAAAATCATTTCACATTTGGGGATTAAGTAATGGAATTATTTTTGACCATTATTAACCGTGGCTGCTTTGCCTCAGGATTTTGTTCCATGCTAAGGGGTTAACGTTGGGTATCCAATTTCTTATCTCTTTCAAGCCTTTCAATTCAGGTATCTCAGATCTCTCAGCAATCACTTTTGTGTGATGTGTTTTTGTTTCCTGCTGCCTCCCTACTCCTCACTTATTGCAAAAAATTGGATCCAGTAACAAAAGTGTCAGGTCAGATCTGTTTCATAAAATGGTCTTCGAAGAGCAATCTATAATCATACTTTCAAAGGCATCTAGCAGCATTTGACTTTGCACTGAACTATACAGTACTTAAGAAATCAAAACCCCTTACAGGTTTGTATCTTTGCAGGTCTAAAGTATAATGCAGTGCCATATTGTATCTTAAGCCCCCCCCTTTTTTTTCCCCTTCAAGCCTACTTTTCATTTCTTTTATGAGATTTTTAATAAAGTTCAGTTTTCCGTACTGCCTCGAGATATTATTCTTGTAGAGCCAGCAGATTGTTATAACAGAATTGTTCAGATTTAGCATATTCTAGAAAGAACGTTAAAAAATATCCTGCTTCCTTACACAGCCATGAATCAAGCTTTAAAAGTACATAGTTTAATCTTGGACCAATGACAAACTGTGTCTTGTTATAAATAACAGTAGCAGACAACTCATAACAAATTCTTTTCCCTTCAGTAAGAGATCCAATATCTGGAGGTCAAATTGTGCTGCCCATTACAGTGATACAAATTTGGAGTTACTTGCTTGATTTCAGGATATTTATAGTACTACATATTGTTTTTGCAATATAAGTGATTAGAATTTGACTCTGCAAACCTAACCATGTCTGGAATATTATTTCTGTTTTGATGTTTGTGCTTCTTATCTTCACAACTACTGCTGCTGAAGTTTTAAAAGCCTATCCTTGTGTAAGTTGCCTTTTGGGAAAAGCAAACAAAATGCTGTGACTGTATCTTATTAGTGGGCTTATGCAATGGCATATTTATAGCAGGGCTACAGCTCTTGCAATATTTCTTTCAATATCTGAAAAAAAAAAAAAAAGAAAACACTATTAATTCTTAGTTTGGCCTGTTCTTATAAAATTCTTGCAAAGAAGGAAGTTATTTTTTTTCCAGAGAATCTGAAAAACGATACTGTGGAAATATTTTCATGATACATATTTACCAATGCATTATACCTGGAGTATAACTGACCAAGATGACTAAACTCAAGCATTTTCTGGCCTGTATCTATCATTCTTTATATTTATTCAGGCTGCAAACATACTAATGTGTTCATGATCAATGAGTTTCAACCACCTCACGTAGCAGATTAGGGGCTGATTTACTGGAGTAAGTCCTCCAACAAACACGCTCTCTGAAGGATTTAGGAGAGAGTTTAATTGT